ACGGCCAATCAGTTTGAGTTGTGCAATGATCTACGCACTGCTGCCTACATCTGGTCCATATTCAAAATATTTCGGGCTTTGGAGAGCTCTGGTATATCACAGCAATAGTTCGTTGGTTTTTTCAGCATTAGTTGTATTATTTATATAGATCTCTTAGAATCATTTCGTAAATTTTTTAATAAATGTTAAGTACTTTTGAAAGCACGGCATACGATTATATTATCATGTTCCTGTCCTGACACCTGTATTTTAATATTATGCTCTAAAATTTATAAAACATAGTCATCTATGAAATATGCATATTTCATGAAACGTATGATATTTATATAGCGGCTAACAACAAATATTTTTATTTGATCTTTTTTATTGTCAAAATGATTCGGAGTATTAATAATATATTTTTAAGTATGCGTTCTGTTACGCCAGGACACCATAACACTCGGCAGAAACACCAGATGCCCGAGCATCTGAAGAAAGTGGAAACGTCCAAGAACCCCCGTCTATCAGATATAGTTATGTACAACTATCACAGGGCTGCCCAAATTATGGAAGAAGATTTAGTCAAGTCATTGGACCAGTATGCCCACTTCAAGCCTGCTGAAAAACAGGCACGAGTAACTGCCATTCTGAATCTCATAGGCAGTGTAACTAGCTCACTTGAGGTGAGCTTTCCCATTATTAAAAACAACGGCAGCTATGAGATCATAACTGGCTACCGGGCCCATCACGTGCGCCACCGTCTGCCTCTTAAGGGTGGTATGTATTGTGCGATAACACGCCCAACTAGTTTATTTTCTTACCCACCCCTTAATAAGGAATTCGCTTCGCCATGGATGTGGATGAGCATGAGGTGAAGGCATTGGCGGCTATTATGACATTCAAGTGCGCCTGTGTCAATCTACCCTTTGGTGGCTCCAAAGGGGGCGTTCGAATCGATCCCAAGAAGTACACAGTTAAGGAATTGCAGACAATCACTCGCCGCTACACCATGGAGCTGTTGAAGCGCAATATGATTGGCCCTGGCATTGATGTGCCTGCCCCAGATGTCAACACAAGTCCGCGCGAGATGAGCTGGATCGTGGACCAGTACACCAAGACATTTGGCTACAAGGACATCAATGCGGCCGCAATAGTTACGGGAAAGCCCGTGCACATTGGTGGCATCAATGGAAGATTTGCGGCAACTGGTCGGGGAGTGTGGAAGGCAGGCGATTTGTTCTTGCAGGATAAACAGTGGATGGATTTAATTGGTCTTAAAACCGGATGGGAAGACAAGAGGATCATTGTCCAGGGATTTGGCAATGTTGGCTCGTTTGCAGCGAAGTTTGTTCATGATGCAGGCGCCAAAGTAATTGGTATTCAGGAGTTTGATTATTCACTGACAAATAATGACGGTATTGATATTAATGTGAGTATTTCATATTGATGCCATCTTTACCGTATTTACCCAATGTGCTAATGTAAAGGATCTGATGGAATTCAAATCGACTAAGAAAACTATAAAGGGGTATCCAAAGGCTAAGGAGACAAAACAGAGTATATTAACTGCGGACTGCGATATATTGATGCCGTGTGCCACACAAAAAGTTATAACCAGCGAGAATGCAAAGGATATTAAAGCTAAATTAATTCTGGAAGGCGCCAATGGGCCAACAACGCCAGCTGGAGAGAAAATTCTACTGGATAAAAAGGTATTAATCATTCCAGACTTTTATTGTAATGCGGGTGGTGTAACGGTATCCTACTTTGAGTACCTGAAGAACATTAATCACGTATCTTATGGTAAAATGAACTTGAGGATAACTTCGCAGCTTATTCACGAAATTCTAAATTCGATCAACGAATCGTTTTGTGAGTGCCCTGACATCGTAAGTATCCCAAGTATTGATCACGTTCAGGGGAGTTATTAATAAAATTCGGACATATCCATAGCCTAAAGTCGAGCCAACCGAAAGCCTTCAGAAGCTACGCGACTGCGCCAAGGAAGCTGACATTGTGGATGCAGCACTGCAAACTGTTATGGAGTCATCGGGAGCTGGCATTAAGGCGACAGCAATTAAATTTAAGCTGCAGAATGACATACGTACTGCTGCCTATATTTTCTCAATATTCAAAATATTCCGTGCTTTAGAAAGCTCCGGCATATCACAGCAGTAAATAGCTAATTTCTTTCTAAACTTTTTATTCACGACAAGTATAAATATTCGCCGGTGTCTGACACCGGAGCACCGGACGTAATGGAAGATTTAAAATTGATGATGAATGAAGCATGCTAAACACACAAAATTAAACAGAAATATTATTCTACTCCTGATGTCTGTTTATGTAAAAATCGAAGATTAAAAATTTAATGTAAACAAAATATGACCATGTTCACATAATAAGCATGTAGTAGACGAAGATCGATGTATACAACTCTTATGCCAATAATCAATAAACAATTCTGCTTCTATGTAAAGTATATACTATTAAGATGTATGTGGTAAATGAAGATTATGCGAATCCCATTTAAAAAACAATGCTTGTTGAATAGCGCGTGTAAAACTTGAAAGTTCAGATGGCATGTCAAGCTCTATAAAAGAGATATCAATATTCTTGATCAGCGTCAGCAGTCGATGTAATCTAGCCCCATCTGTTTTATTACAAGTTATCGATATCATACCTTCATAAAATCGATTAAAATCGATATAAAATCGATTATTTTCTTATCCTATTTCATCATATTTAGTATATTTTCGGAAAATAAAAAAAAAAAATAGATAGCTACGATTTTGTGGTGTGTTTTATATTTGAATATTACCCTATTGAAGGAAATAATTATTTTATTTTTGACACAAGCCGTGTCAAATTTAATATTATCCAGTAGCTTTCGTTTTGTATGTAAACACAAAACTTGAACTCGAAATTTGAGTTTAGTCGAGTGAATGTCTTTAACAGCGTCAGAGCTACTAAAACATTAATATATACAATATAGAAATTCCATACAAACTTTAAGGGAGTTGAGAATATTATTTATGATTTTGGTTAAATTTCAAATTAAAGGAAGTTTCTCTATTTGAAAAGCAAAATGGACAAACCGGACGAGCCGTTCAATAAGACGGCTTTCCTCGAGGGTTATCTGCTGAAGCACCGTGAGCTCGGCAAGCGACAGCGTGAATATAAGAAATTGCTTTCGAGTAAGCTAAAGACACGTAATGAGACGATCATCGATGCCAGCTACGAGAATACCATTGATCGCCTGGAGGAGGAGAAGAATGATCTGCGTGCTCAGATCTGGGTGGCCGCTGGCTCTACGCATATGAAGAAGGACAAGCGCTACTTGGCCCAGATTCGTTGCCATGTGGAATGCCAAGAGAATCTAGCCGCGGATATAACCAAGCTGAAGACGTCCATAACCAACATGGAGCGCGAAATCAGTCGAGTGAGCAAGCAGATTTACAATCTCAATCGACTGACGGTGCCGGAGCAACAGCACCAGGCACACGTGGCCAAGGTGCGCAAGAAGATGGCCATTTTGGAGAACTCCTTGGAGGTGGGAATACGGCAAGAGTGCGGCTTTACGGCGGCAAATGCTGAACTGCGAGAACAGCTTATCCGGATTCTCAATCATCGCACATTCTTCAATGACTCCTACACTAAGATGGTTCAGAAGCTGAACAGCGACAAGAAGTATCTGATAGATCTCATCGAGTATGCGCTGAACACCTTCGACGGCTGCATTGATGTCTATGAGAAGATCGACAAAATTACCAAACGCGAGAGCAAAGAGCGTGAGTTGAGACGCATTGAGCTGCAGAGCATCATGCGAAAAGTGGCTGCCGATGCGGATAACTCTGCGTTCGTCGAGTGCAAGGGCAGGGAGCGAATTTTGGCTGATCTGCCGCCCAAGGAATATAGGCGACGTGACGAATTCCGTCGGAAGCACAACAAGAAGATCAATCTGTACAATTCGGTGTTGAAGAAGATACTCGACTACACCAACTCCAGCAATGTGGAGGAGGTGATCGAGAAGTTCCAGCAGCAGGAGAGTCTCTATTACTCCTTCTTCAACTATGCCAACGAGATGAGCTATCATATCACGTTGTTGAACAACTCAGTGAATCGCCTCTTCGAGGACATTATCGATTTGAAACGCGAGAATACGTCCACGCTGCAGGGACAGGTTGATTTGATTAGCTCTTTGGAGCAGCAGGTGCGCAAGAAGCAAGCCGCAAACTTGGAGCTGCATAAGACACGTGAAAACAACGATACGCGTCTCGAGAATCTTCTGCAGGGTGTTGAAATGCTTTGCGATATGTGCTCGGTGGATACGTCGCCTTTGTCAGAGCTGCTGGGTGATCATACCCATGTCAATCTCGTGAATGTCGAACGCTTTCTTCGGCTACTAGAGACGCGCGTTCAGGACATTGTTGCCAGTGTTTATGTATTCGAGCGCCAGGACGAGGGCAACATTGACTACGTGGTGAAGCAGATCGAAAAGATCTGTGAGCTGCCCACCGATCTCAACGACATTGTGCTCACCCAGCAATGTCCTGAGTGCGCCGAGGGCGAGGCCTTCAACATGGACGATGGCGGCGATGGAGTGGCCATACACACCATCAAGGAGGCTAAGCAGAAACTGTACGAGAAGATCACTCAGCCAGAGATGCAGTATCGCCTACACAGCATCAGCCAGTGCCGCTTGCCGCGCTCCAGGATGTTGGCTGCCCGACGAAATGTTTAGATCCGTTAACTCATCAATTGCACGTATGATTACCGTATTCTCCGCGCTTTAAACGCTTTAAGTCATGGCCAAATAAATTTGTGAAATGGAAACGAACGCGTTTATTTATGGAAATAAGCTTACGTGTTCCATAAAATGATAGAACTTATACATATAAAATAAAAAGTATTCATAATTCGAGCTCAGCAATCATAAAGTATACCCTGTTTTAGCCAATTTCGTTTAGTTCCAAAAACTTAGTTCACATTATGGGCCACTCAGCTCACTTCAGTCTTATACTTCTGGAATCTCTTCGAAGCTTCCTTTAAGACCCCAGCTGCTGATGAGTAATTCTATCCAATTATCAGGGTCTATACTAGAGCTGCTTGATGTTGTTACCATTGAACTTTCTGGCTCGGGAGTGGAGAATGAGACATCAGCAGGCGGAGTTGTTAAGCGAGAACCGCATGCATACATCCTATTTATTTTCTCTATGTCTTTATCAGAAAATGCCAAACGTTGACCCAGTCGAATGTTGTCTTTCGCTTCCTGTAAATTGAATATTTATTTTCTTATTTTCTTATATTCATGTATATTCTTATAATCAGTAGTCTCTATTGTTCAACGCCCAACTCACCTTTGTGATTATTGTCGGTTGCCCATTCCATGAGAAGGCTCGGGCTGAGTAGTGCATAAGGCTGTCGAAATCGTAGGGCACCCCGAATGCCTCAGAAATGTCCGCCTTTCTAAAGTTTTTCCATGCTCTAGGGCGTATATTGTCGTAATTAATCATCACATAGTCATCGCGCTCCATGCGGCTTTGCTCGTGCAGGAATCCAAGTGCATGCATCAGTTCGTGCAGCACAGTGCCGTAGCGTCGCAGGCATCCAGGTAACTGTAGATTGACTCTCTGCCTCCCGCCGATGCGACCCACAGCAGACCAACAGCCCGAGAAATCGCTGTCAATGGAAATGTAGTCCCTCTCGCCGCTATGTGGCACGAATCGAATGCAGGTGCGTTTGTGATAGTCCTCCATGGCAGTTTCGATAATGGACAACTCTTGTCTATCGAAATCCCCTTCGATTCGATAGGGCACCACGCCATTGGGCCACCGTAAGCTCTGTGATACCATGCCATTTCGCATAGTGATCGCCGGTTGTGGCACTAGAATATCACCCTCAAGGTAGCTGCCCAGCTCCTCGGGATTAACATCGCTGTCAGCACTTAAGTTAGCTACCCTAGCACCTGTTAGCTCCTGATCCGGCTTACCAAGCAAGGCAGCGCCATAGGCGCTCAAGTCTATGATGTCCGTGCTAGATTGCGTTGGATCTCCAAAGGACACTTCCTCCTGGGATACCAATGGTAGCGCCCAGCTGAGTGTGTACATGGAAACGAAGGTAAAAATTAGTCTCTGCATTGCTCGCCGCTTACTCAAACTTTGCTTAAGCTGCATTGAACTCTAGCTGCTTTTATATCTAAATTGAGGGAGGAATCACTCCGACAGCTATTATCAGCTTTTACATCACTATAGCAATACGGAACTAAATCATATGACAACTAATCAACTCTGATTTATGGCAATATAATTTAGATTAAAATTACACATTTTATCTATTCTCGTAACAATTAAGAATAGTAAGATTCATTGCATAGATTCCAGACTGGAAGCCCTTGCTGATATGGTGATAAGGGGTTCTTAACCCGAAAATTTTGTGAATGATAAACTGCTAAGCATATATAGACCCAAAGATCTTCAAATGTATTTACATTACTTTATACCGAACATGTGTGTTTTTTTTCCTTAAACCCATTGAAAAGGGGAAATCAGGGCATAGCGAATATATCTGTCTGAAATTGACTAAAGTAAATATAGAGCAAGTCCAGCCTCATAAAAAGTTTGTTGTAATATTACACAATGCTAATAGGAGTACGGAAGTGACATGTTTGGATTAAATTTAATCAAGGTCAAAATTAATTATTCAAAATGTAATACATAATTAAGCTATAGGAAAACGAATGATGATAATCGAATCAATTTTACATAAAAAGTGACTGAACGATGTTATAAAAGATGTGAGTGTAGGCTGGATCGAGTTAGATGGAAAAGGAATCTGTAATGAGACTGTTAACGAGAATCTTTGGACAAATGGATTTCGCAAGGAAAGAATGTGGTCTGGCAGGTGCTTAAGTTTGGCTCTTAAGTAGGAAGATGAGTGCTTAGAGCTTGAATTACATTAATGAGTTCTTTGAGTTTTAGTTTTTATACCCTGAACCCATTGAAAATGGGAAATTTAGGGTATAATGGTTTTCTGAAAAGTATGTAACAGGAAGAAGGAGGCGTCGCAGACCCCATAATGTATATATATTCTTGATCAGGGCGCTGAGCTGAGTCGATATAGCCCTGTCCGTCTGTCTATCCGTCCGTCCGTATGAGTGCGTCGATCTCAGAAGATACAAGAGCTAGAGAGAAGCTAGAAATTTTGCATGGAGATTCGTGTATACAAATTCATCATATTTTTTCGATAACTCATTCGATATCTTTTTATCGAGGATAATCGATAAGTTTATTTTTTTTTTTTATTTTTTTCAGCCTAATTTTAACACTATTCGACTTGGGGACTTCGGATTTACTGTGTGAAAAGCAAAATCATTAAACTATCAGCTTGGAGGGTCAGGGTATCTCGTAGTCGAGCAGTCTCGACTACGCCTACGCAGCATCGGCCAGTGTCGCATTGCGCTCGCCAGGATGTTTATTTATTCATTTACTTATGGAAATAAATTTACGTGTCCCATAAAATAATATATCTTAGATTAAACAATAATCTAGATTAAAGAATTATCAGGGTCCAGACTGGAGCTGACCGTTGTTGCCGTTGAGCTTTCTGGCTCAGGTGTGGAAAGTGAAACATCATCAGGCGAATTTGTTGACTGTTTGCATTTGTACATCTTATTAATTTTCAAAATGTCCTTTTCAGAAAATTTGAATCGTTGCCCAATTCGAGAGTTGTCCTCCGGTCGCTGTAAGTTAAAGATTGTTTTTCAGGATTAAATTAATTAACCTTATTCTTATATTATAACAAATATCTCTGCTGTTCTATGTCCCACTCACAATTGTCACTATTGTTGGTTTTTTATTTTTTGAGAAAGATGTAGCTGAGTAGTGCATTATGCTGTCGTAATCGTAGGGCACTCCGAAGCCCTCGGTAGGGTCCACCTTTTTAAAGTCCTTTTTGTGCTTAGGAATTATATTGTCATACATAATCGTCACATAGTTATCACGCTCCATGCGGGATTGCTCGTGCAGAAATCCAACTACATGCATCAGCTCGTGCATCGCTGTTCCAGGCTGTCCCACACATCCAGGTGACTGTAGATTGACTATCTGCTTCCCACCTCTGCGACCGACATAGGACCAACAGCCCGTGTTGCCATTCTGAATGGAAATGTAGTCCTTCTCGCCCCTACGTTCCACAAATCGGATGCAGGTGCGGTTGTGGTACTCGTCCATGGCAGTTTTGATGGTGGACAAATCCTTGCTACTGTAACCATCCTTGATAACAAAGGGCACCACGCCCTTTTTCCAACGATAACTTTTTTGGGGTAATCCATTTAGCGTAATAATGTCAGGCAATGGCAGCAAAATATCACCCTCAATGTAGCTGCCCAGTTCCTCGGGATTAACATTGCTGTCGACACTTAAGTTGGCTACCCTAGCACCTGTTAGCGGATCCGGCACGCCAAATATCTCTCTGCCATAGGCGCTCAAGTCTATGATACCCTCACTAGATTCTGTTGAATCTCCAAAGGACAGTTCTTTCTGGGATACCAAAGGCAGTGCCCAGCTGAGTGTGTACATGGAAATGAAAGTGAATATTAGTCTCTGCATTGCTCGCCGGTTACTCAAACTTTGCTTTAACCGTATTGAACTCTTGCGGCTTTTATATCTGAATTGAGGCTGGAATCTATCAGCTTTTACATTATTATAGCACTGCGGAACTAGAAAATTTAACGCCTATTTAACTCTGATATTTTAGATTAATATAATCACGCGTAACAATTTTTCTTTTTTTCTCAAGTGACGCGAAAAATTATTTATAGGAATATACATATATAAAACGATATAAAGAATAAAAAATAATAATGAAGTTTGATACACTTTTTGAATAGAACAGGTCTATCATTTCGTTTTCAATATCTATCGATCTATCCATCGATATTAATAATGAATTAAAAATTGATTTTCTAAAATTGACTAAAGTATATAGATAAAATTTACAACGGCTCATTAAAAGTTTACAATTTTTTTTTTAATTTCTGTGTTAATTTTTTAAAGAAACAAGAAATTAGGTTTTTTTTTTTTTTTTTTATTGCTATATGTTATTTTATGGGAGTGATATGTTTGGATATAAATTTAATATAGTCGAAAATATTTTTGAGAAATGCAATACAAAATGAAATTTGAAAATCGAATGCATTGTAGTTTATTTAGGTTTAATAAATAATAATAATATATATATATATATATATATATATATATATATATATATATATATATATTTTTTTTTTTTTTTTTTTTTTTTGATATATCATTATTTTTTTTTCAAAAGCGAAATAAAACACGTATTTCAATATATTTAAAATTCTTGCTAATTTATTTCTTAAATACTTTGATCAGGCAGAGATTCGTGATAAATAGTTCTAGGCTAAGGGTGTATGTGGAATGCTTTAAATAATTGTTCGCAGTGGGTGATCGTGTGAAGGGAGTGGGATCTTTGGTTTAGCTGCTGGCTGCCGTGGCCTTTTCATCATGGCCGTCTCCAAGGCCCAGCCCGCTGATGAGGCCGCTGAGGAAACTATCGACGATGGGATTGCTACCGGGAGCTGCCACTGGTGCTCCAGTGCCTGCACCGGGCACTGGCGCTGCTCCACCCACATACCCACAGTCGTACATGCGATTCAATTTCTCCACATCGAGGTCTGAGAATCCTTTACGCTGGCCCATTAGAGAAGAACCCTTCGATTGCTGTACGTTAAAGTAAGCAGATTGGTTTACAGTTAGTTTAAATTCAAGGTACTCCATGCACTCACCATGGCGACTATAGTCGGCTGTCCGTTGGTAGAGAAGGCATTCGCTGAATAGTGCATAACGCTGCCATAATCGTATGGCACGCCGAAAGCCTCCGTTGAGGCGGCCTTCTCGAAGTTGCTCATGGCCGAGGATTGAATATTCCTGTATTGGATGGCCACATAGCTATCACGCTCCATGCGATTCTGTTCATGTAGGAAACCAAGGGCGTGCATCAGCTCGTGTATGGCTGTGCCGGGACGGCTAAGACAGCCAGGCGACTGGAGATTCACCTCTTGCTTGCCACCGACGCGACCCACTGATGACCAACAGCCCGAGCTGCCGCTCACAATCGAAATGTAATCACGCTCAGTGCTGCGGGGCACGAATCGAATGCACGTGCGCTTGTGGTACTGATCGATGGCGTTCTGAATCGTTGCCATGTCGTGCGCATTAAAGCTGCCGCGGATTTCGTATGGCACAACGCCGTTGGGCCAGCGCGAACTCTGTGTGGTTAACCCGTTTTTCATAGAGACAGCCGCCTGTGGTATGAGAATGTCGCCTTCCAAATAACTGCCCAGCTCCTCGGGATTCACCGTGTCTGTTTCGGAACTGAAGTTGCCTACCAAAGCGCCGGTGCGATCTTGATCCGGCTCACCGAACAAGGCGCTACCATAAGAGCTCAGATCAATGGTGTCCTTACTCGGCGCCGGCGCCTCTTCAATCCCGTTCTCGGGCAGCTCAATGACCTCCGTGTCATCAATGTCGTCGTCGAGGGCCAATGGCACAGCCTGTGCACAAGCCAGGCCCATAAGTAGGATTAAAGCTAATCGGGACATGTTAGATGGTTTGGATTGTTTAGTTCTTTTGGTTGCTTGTTAAAGTTTGACTGTGCTTCGGTTTGGAGAGAACTGGATATATATACTCAATTCTGTACCGCGTGCCCGACTTTATCAGTCGGTAACGAGCTTTTATACACATAAACATATTTTTTACCGGCAGACCTTCAGTCGTGCACTCGACAGAGTTGTTGTTGTTATCGTCATCGTCTTGGCTCGTCACACTCTTTTATTGGTGGACAAATATTTGGTTAACGCTCAGAGCCAACCGTATTTCTACTATATAATATTGTTTTTGTTTTTAGGGCGAAATGACTTTCATAAATCGTATCAGTAGTTTGTTTGCATACACAAAGTTTAACGACATTTTCTTAATGTAGTTTTTTAGTTTTTCGCGCATAGCAATACCCGATAAGCATTATCGCCTTGACCTCTAAGCAAGATGGATTTATATGCCACAATTGCTTTATATAATGCCGCTGGGATTTAGACTGGAAATATCAACAGGCACGCTTAGGAAACACGTATTCATAAATAAACATAACACTTAGTACATCCTAGCATGAAATTAAAAAAGCTTGCGATTCAATTTAAGTAATTTAATTCAATTTATTGTGTATGAATTTTAAAATTAGCTAGAACTTTCCAATTGTAACAAACTGAAATTCTTTGCTTATAGGATATCAAATGAATTTGAAACTGTGACAATATTATAATGATCAAAATGTGATCAGTTCGCTTACTTAAATACTTTGTACAATGCGGCGGCTTAAAAAAATATGGGAAAAACGTCATGAAAAATCCCATGCTTCTTTTTGGCTCATTAGCTGGAACAGCTGTGTAAGCCGTGTGCGTAAATTGGGTTCAAGTGCAGATGGCAGCCGTCATCACCAAATTATTGTATTAGTACATGGGAAATATTTAATGAGACAGCGGAAAAAACATATATTCTCAAATATCAATCAAATTTTGACCTTTTTGTTAGTTTTCTCGTGTTTGGGTGTGTGAGCTTATTGCAGCTGATCCTCTATGCATCGAAGCTCATCTCGACAACCATGTTCGAGTCTGAATTTGAAAACTCTTCCTCCTCTTCGAATTTCAAGTTCATTTTAACACCACTCAACTTATCAGTATTCAGTACGCGTCGGCTGCTCGCCGATATAGATTCAGTTACATCGCTCGGTGCCTTGCTACAGATCTCATCGATGGTGCCGGGATCATCCATCAAGTCCTCGATGCAATCCTTTAATATTGTAGACGTAACAATGCAATCCCGATTAAGTGCTAAGCTCTTGTGGAAGTACTCAATGGCCTCGTCCAAGTTTCCAAGTAGAGCGTGTATAAAGCCAATGGCAGTGTATGTATTGCCGCTTTGGGGTTTCAACATAAGCGCCTGCAAACAGATTTACGCATTACTCATTGCGAGCATAAATAGAATAGAATCAAACATTGATCTTACGAATTGAAAATTGTATAGCGCATCCTCAAACTTTTGTATTTTACGATAGGAGTGACCCAGATTTATAAAGAGCGGCTCCCAGCGAGCCGAAACCTCCTCATTGTTGGCCTTGGCACGCTGCCTAACAATATCCACAGTGCATTGAAATATTGTGGCAGCCCCATCAAAGTACTCGTACTCGTATTTAATTACGCCCAGCTCGTGCAGCACATAAACATCCATGGGAGCAATTGTCATGGCTTGCAAAAAGAATTTCTCTGCCAATTCCAGGTTTTTGGTAAGTCCACACTCGACACCAATGTATAGTAGAGGCAAATGACAGCCGCGCATTAGTTGTGTGGCCTTGAAGTAAGCAGCCATTGCCTGCTCGTGCTCATTCTCATTGGCAAAGGAGTGTCCGTAGGCCAGCCAGGCGGGACCGTAGAGACGATCCAGGGATGTGGCCTTCGACAAGTAACGACGTGCTGGATCACTCTTGCCTATCATGTCATAGTAACAACCGACTGCATACCATGAAATGGCCTTGTCCGGATACCGATCAACCAACTTGTGGGCAACATAGAAGAGCTTATTGAAATCTCCATTTTCCACTAGGCAGGCAATTTGTATGGTCAGTGCGTTATTGTGAAACGGATCAACCTTCAACAAGCTATATGAAAAATATTACTGCAATATAAATATGAAATTAGCTCATGCAACAATTACCTATTTAGTATTTTCAGGCACTGCTTGTAGTCACAGTCATAGAAACATTTTTCAGCCTCAGCAGCAAGGAGATCTGTGCTGCGCTGCACCCGACTCAAGCAATTGTTGAGCGGCACTAAGCTGTCGCTGTCATTTTCGCGCGAGCCTCGGCGATGGGATGCATCAAAGAGCGAGCGGTGGGTGGCATCTATCATAGATGACGCACGGGACAGACTTGTTTGTAGAGAAAACGTTGGCGCTTTCAGATCATCCAGCACTCTGTAAAATTTGCACATTATTGATAAGAGCGAGGCATAAAACATTGCTTAATTAATACTCACTTCTGTGCGGGAGACATAAACTGACTTGAGGTCATTGGCACCTTGGACGCAGAGGGCTTGGGTACCTGCGTATCCGTTGAACAGGTTTGCTGCACTCGTGCTGTAAACTCCTTGATATACTTGAGCACGTCCGGATTGACAATGGGAGAAATCTCTTCCGCATTGCGCGCTGATATGAGCTCATAGTACTTTTTCAATCGGGACTCGTACAGTTTAAGGATGAACTTGGCATCCGCTTCGGTTGATTGTTGAGCCAGCGGCAAATGATGCATCAGCTCAAATTCTATAATAAAGTCAAATTGGTGTTTATCGGAGTATAGTGAGTTGCCTTGGTTATTTACCTTCCCAAGCCATGAGCATTTCGTGCTGCACCAACGCTTCCAGTGCCTCAAAGCAGTAAATAGATTTGTGCAGAGCCTGTACATAGAAATCCATGGCCATGCCGCGATTGTCCAATGCTTCAAATACTTTTCCCTTGATCAGGAATATAGAAGCCAGCAATTCGTTTCGATTGTTCTCTTCGCCGCCAAAGACACTATTGCTTTCCAAATAGATGCCGCTAGCTGTATCCATCGGCTGATTGATTAAAGATGTGGTCATTGTCTCCACCTCAACAATTTGTATTACATTTGCAGCTTCGTTGTATTGCTTGGCCGCATAGAGACTTTCGAGCAGCAGGTTCAAGCACGGCAATGAGGTCCTCTCTAGCTTGTAGTGCTGGATTGTATGAGCCGCGCGATGAAACTCGCCAAGTAGAAACATGCACTGTGCCTGGTAGTAAACATCCCGTGGCTCATGGCCGCTTAAGACAGACACCTTTTCTGCCCAAAACAAAGCAGATGAATATCGACGCTATTAAAAAATACATCGAAATTTTGTTTACGAATTGATTACAATATTTCACTTTCATTTACCATGTCTATAAACTGTCGAACCAGCTTTCTATACACGGAGAGGTCTATGTGATCATTTGTGCCTTCCGTATTGCTGCTTTCACTATCCCCAGCCATTTTATTAAATAATTTTAAGAATTCGAAACGTTTTTGACCAATTTGTTAGATTTTCTTTGCCGGCTAGCGTTGGACTGAAACGAGTTATCTGGCAACGCCAATGTCAACAGCTGATTATGGCATTCACACAAAATGAGCAGTGGCACTGCGAGAAATTTTTGGCTCGGCTTTTCAAAATTATCAAACCAATAGGAGAAATAGATTTTACTAATAAAATTATATATAAATGAATATTAGAATATATATTTGTAATAAAATAGTTTAATACATGTTTATAAGCTTTCTGTTAATAATTTAACCAATAACAAATACTAAATGTTCAATGGCCCTAACGAACCTCTTTGCAACTTGTATGTTGTCCTGCGCTTGATTTTGATGTTGGAGATGGAGATTAGGGCAGCAGCCAACCTTCATAGAGATTCGTTTGCGCTCTCTCAGCATCTGTCGTCGGCAGGATTCAGTGTATTTCAATTGCTCGTTAGGTGAGGTTATTGCATTTCTGGCTGGAGCGGCAACAAGAAAAAGTTGAGCCCAGAGGCAGTGCAAATAAAAACACTTCTTTTTTCGTTGCTGTTTAAAATAAAATAGAAAATATACAAAAAACGCCTTCATCTTGTAGCCTATTTTTACAAGTGTAAAGAAAGAGACTGCAAACTACACCAACAGCAACAACAGTAGCATAGTAAAATTAACGAAAACGCGTGCAAAGCACACAACACAACTTGAAGTAACGGTTAAAAGCCGGATGGCACAGTGTGCGAAAAAAATGTGCTTTGCATGCATGCAGTAGAACGGCAAAAACTGAATGCGCGTGTAAAATTGAAATTAAATTCCAAAAAATTTATGTGAGTGACGCGTGCAACAAACTAAACATAAGCTGCTACTACTACAATTTCGGGTATGTAAATACTCACATAAACACATTCATTCATATATACAGGCGTGCAGGCATACTTGCGAAATCGTAACTACTACGTGTATACAAACAGGCGTACATTTATGTATATGTATGCATATTTAAAAAGGTAAATGGGCCCGGCACAGCAATAGTCGGCAAATTTAATAGTTGTTGTGTGCGAAGAGTGTACCCAGAGGAGTGCTGTAAGGGCAAATCTAAGTCGCCGGATTGTGCAGAGTCTCGGATGCAGTTATACTCTCATCGAGTGCAGCTTCAATGCCCTTTTATAGTGCGTGTTGATTTCGTGTTGTTATTGCTGTTGCTGTTGTTGTAGCGTCGGAATCGTCGGTCCTCGTCACTGTCTTTTTACAACTTTCCGTTGTTCCATGAGTGTTTTACGTCGCGCACGCCTTGCCATACTCACGTCATTTGCCCAGCAGCTTCAGCAACAACAAATACCACTCTCCTACTAGTCGACCACTTTTTACAACTACGAATACGCACAGAGAGGACCACGGGCAAAAGCAACAAGAACAACGTCAATGACAACAGCAATAGCAACAGCAAAAACATTAGCAGAACAAGAACAAAAACTACCCAAGCTCCGTTGGCGCTCCGTTCCACTCGTTGTTGCTGTTGCTGGTTGTTGGCTCTGCGGCGTTCTGCTCATTTCATGCTGATTTATGGTTCTAATAATAGCTTCGCTTCCTGTTTCTCAAAAGGATTACAGCCGCTGGCACACGCACACGGCCGAGACGCATGCACATATACATAGACATCAACACGTCCTCAGCATAGCACAGGACTCTCCTCTTTTAAGTGCCGTGTCCATTTTGGCCCATCACCACATTTAGCTATACAAAAAAGAAGAAATAAAAAAATTAAAATAATTACTGTGAACGACAAAATTATGAACCAGTCGCTCGCACGAAAGCACTTGGAAAGAACTTGTCGTTGACTACGAAACGGGGGCATGACGGAAAATGGTTAATTACAGTTATGTTTGCGGGGATACGCCTTGATCGATTTACAGCGTTTAACGCTTAAGTGAGCTCATTTAGAATGGTTGAATAGTGTGCGTGGCTGTGTGTGTGCGTG